CCATGGTGTGATCTCTGAACTATGAGTAAGAAGTTATCTTTCCATGGCAGAAGCCCCCCCCCCCCGTTGGCCTCAGCTCTGCAGCCTCCAACAAGGTGACACACAAAGCTTCAGCTGCCACCTCCCAAGCTCCAACTCAGGCTAAGCACCAGATACAGTAATTCCAGACACCACAAAAACGGTGAAGGTGGGCATTGTTACTCCACCTCCTGCAGATGAGGAGGCTGAGCTCCGAGGTTAGGTGATTTGGCCAAAGCAAAGGGCAGAGCTGGGCTGTCGGGTGGGGTGGAAAGGAGGAGAGGTGAGACCTGGAGAGAGCCGGCTGTGTGACAGCAGGGAGGGGCTTAGCGAAGATGGGGCAGTCATCCCTTCAGCACTCACTGCTCCAGCAGGGCATAGCAGTGAAGACAGCTGACTTCCGGGCTCCATCTCTTCTGCCTGCTCACTTCAGCCACAAAATGAGCAGCTCCCTGTCCTGCGGGGAAAGTGGCCCCAGGACCCAGCCTAAAGGGAGGAGATTCCAGCCCCCCACGAAGGGAATGCCTGGAGCTGTCTGCTGTATCTGTCTTGGTTATCCCAACAGACTGCATCCAGGGCACAAGAGATTGGAAAATTTCTCCTCTCGACCACCGAATTTGCTTTTGTATCCTGGGGCTGTTCTGTTTCTGAGTTTTCTTGGAGAACATTTGCCCTCCCCCTAACCAAAGGTCATTATATCCTACAATCTGGGACCTGCGAACAAGACTTCAGAACTTCAAACATATACCTAGAAATAGAGTAGCAAGAACAATCATTTTTATATTCCCAGTCATAAATCACAGCTTTTTCACTAGGAAAGCCAGTCACATGAGGGAACACCCCAAAAGTCAAGGGCAGACCCTGAAAGCCAAGGCCTTCAGAGACTGCTGTGGGCATCCGAGAGCTTGGCAGATTCTTCCCACATCTGCCTCCTCACAAGGTGGTAACCCTCTTGCCTTTAACCTCTCAATTGCCTTAAGGGATCCCTAATATAATAAACCTTGGGACCCTAGAGATGCTTAAAAAAAGCAAGAGTGAGGAACCAAATTCCAGGATAAAACCTCCTAGCTAGGGGACAAAGTCAACTCACTTTTACTTATTGACAAATTACAACTATTACTCTGTCAATCAATACGCACCCTCCCCCAATCCTGGTTGACATTATTCTTATCTAGTGGATGAGGCCACCTAGTACCAGGGCCCGGGGCCCTGGGTGAAGCAGATGGCCCACTCCGATGCCGTGACTTCACAGGGCCAATCCACGCAAAGGTGGGGCCAAAGGTCGAGACACCCGCAAAGGACAGAGCAGTCTCCTTATGCCACTGCCACCCTTAGTCCCAAAACTGAGGGTTGGGGGGCAGTAACTAGAGCCCAGAAGGAGACCACTCGCCGAGGGGACCCCCAGCCCAAGGTGGCCCCAGCGGGGTGGGAGCTGGGGGATGAGTACACACTCAAGCCCACCTACTTTCCTCCTTCTGGCCCCTGCCAGGGCTCCCCATGGCCAAACTCAGCAAAGCAGAGGGCAGGGTACAGGATAAGGATGGAGACGCAGCAGACCCCAGCACTGAGCCCGAGCTCAGGCACCCAAGGTCCAGACAGTGTGTGGCCCGTGGATTCCAGCCCAGGCCTGCAAACTGCAATGTGTGGCCTTTCTCACTCACCAAGCTGCTCCCACCTGGCTACCAGCTCCTCCAGTGCCACAGCCCTGTCTGCCCAGGCACGTAGCTCTCTGCTCTAGTCTGGCAGGACGCATTCCTGACCATGCTGTAGCCTGAAGGAGTTAATCCCCCTACTTTTCTCCTGCCCCAGAATCTGCTTCTCCAACCTGTAGAGGGTGGTGACCCCATGGAGGGCACTCCCAGACCCTCCTGGAAACCCACTGCAGCCTTGAGCAGCTGCCCGGCAGCCCTCAGCTCCACCAAATGAGCCAGGGACATTTGATGGATGGGAAGGTAGATGTGGAGAGCTCCCCCAGGAGAATAATTTAACTTTATGGGGAAGGAACGAGAAGCCCCTGGACCCAGCACACAGCCCCACTGCAGGCGTCCCGGAGCATGTGTAACTCATTACGTCCACCAGCTTCCCATCTGCAACCACAGATGACGGCACAGGGCCTGCAGGACTGTAATATTTTTCTGACACTAACACCTCTCTCGGGCCCTTGGAAAGTGCCGCCAGAAACTGGGCCCAGCCAGGCACCACCCACTCCCAGGCCTTGGGCCTCCACCTCCTGGAGCCAGACTGGAGAGGTCCCTAGCTGCCGCAAGGGAAGACAAAGCAGGGAGGAGCACTGGAGGGGGAGGGGACCCCAGTGGGGCTGGGCTGGAGGGAGGTGTAAGGCCGCTATCAGAGCCAGTGTGGCTGCCGTCCTTCCAGGTCAGCTCTGGGATTTGCCACAGGTAGTCTGTCCTCAATGGCCTGTGAGGTGCCAGGTAAGGGGACAGTCCCTGCCTCCTAGGTCTCCTCAGCAGTGGGGTCCCAGGAGGGTGCTGATGGCTGAGATGCAAGGAAGAAAGCAAGGTTCCCCAGGGGAGCTCCCCAGGGGTGGGGAGGAAGGGGTTGGAGGGGCCCTTCAGGGCTTGTGAGAAGGAGACACCCCAGAGGGGGACAAAGTGACCCTTCCTCTCCCTTACCCTGCCTGCCCCAGCCCCGGCTGCTGCAGGAACTTCTTTCGCTCTCTGGAGCTTCTGCCCAAGCAGTAAAATAGGCCTTCTCAGCACTTCCGCCCTCCCAGGAGGTGCAGCCTCGGTCCATGGGTGAGTGAGCTGCCTGTGACCCCACATCCTCATCTCTGATCCTCTGGTGGGGATGGCTGTGAACAGGGAAGGGGCAGTGCCCAGTATGGCACTCCTGCTTGCTGGCTGGATAAATGTCATTTCCTCGGGAATTCCTGCCCGGGGCTCCACTGCCCAAGCCACACCCCAGGATTTAGCTTTGTTAGGCACAAGACAGAGTCCATATTTTAATCCCCAGCTGGCTTCTAGTCCGAATCCAGAGGCAGAGGAGTTAGTTATTCCTTAGGACTCGGTACCTTCAATTCCCTTCCCAGGAACGAACTCGGAATTAAAGGTAAGCAGACCCCAAGCCAGTCGCGTACTAAGAGGCACCAAGGTTTCCTGAGCACCTGCCAGCTTCATGGCCTGGCAGAGCCCAGAGAAGAGCCAGCGTCTTCCCTGGCCTCAAGGGTCTTCCAGTCTAGCGAGACGAGGGACCTCAGCAGCCCAGCAGAGACACGGACGGCGTGCGACATGTCGGAACTCTGGGGCAGTGAGTCACAGGGTGAGGAGTGGGGGCCATCAGCCAACGGCTGGGGAGCCATGGTAGAGAAATAGGTAAGAAGAGCCAGCCCAGGAGGGTACAAAGGCCCAGAACAGGAAGCCCAACGGACCCCATGGGCTTCATTTTGGGGGTGACAGGGAGGACAAGCGCTCCCGGGTAGACTCTGTTAACCTAGTTGGCTAGAAGGGTACAGTCGGGATGTGACTCCATCTAACATGACTCGGTTACATCCCACCATCACTACGGCCCCGACGCACTAGCTGGGCTGCACTGCGGGAACTTTTCGTCCCCAGGCCTCGACCCCCAGGCCAGCCGTCAGCAGGGGACGTGTCTTTCCCTACCCGTCTCATCCTCCATCGAAGTAGGAACCCTCCAAGGACCTCAGCGTGCCTCCTAGACTAACGCTTCACTGTTGGGCTCACAGGGCGGCCCCGGCCCGGCCCTCTCCTTCCCGATCTCTTCCCCTTCCTCTTCTCCCCGACCTGGCCCCACCTTCCTCTCCCTCTCTGTTTCACTTCTAGAGATGAAGATCAAAAGAGCAGCGAAACTCTTTGGCGAGAGATCAAGTCTGGCTGGAATTTCTCCAAGTCAAGCTCCCCATTTTTCTCTTAGAAATGAAAGGAAGGGAGGAAGTCAAGCCCAGAGCCCAGGAGCTTCCGGAAGGAAGCCAGCTTCATCTCCACACTGCTGCGTGGCTTCTTATCACCATTCCCGGCACCTGCCAGCCAGGGACGGAGTGCGGAAGACCTAGACAATGCGGAAATCAGGTTTGGAAGGTGTTCGTTCTTTAATGCACTCAGTGAGCTTTAGTGGGCCCTTGCTCCGCGCCGGGCCCGGGGGGGAGGGAGGCAGACAGAGGCCGCCCTGTCCAGCCTATGCGCTTGTCATAGGGAGCTGAGCACCAGGTCCCTAATGTGACAGCCAGTTCTGTTTTACACACAGATTTTGAAACTGGCCGGGACCACCTCCTGCTGGACCTTGACACCCGCACATTTCCACATGGTTCCTGTTGGGGGGAATCTGGCAGCTCCCCCACCTTGGAGGCCTGGGACCAGTCCGATTGCCCTTCGGAGCAGCATGACACCTGACACACAGCGGGACCCGCTGCCTCTACTCCCTGCCTCTCCAAGCCACTCCACTCCCCGCCTTCATCAGCATTTATTAAGCTCCTGCTCCGTGTTGAGCTCTTGGCTGGAGCACTGGGACCTGCTGCAGGCAAAGCGCTCTGGGCTTCTTGTAGCAAAGGCCACCAGCTGGGTGATCAGAATTTTAGCAAATACTCAGGGCCCAAGCTGAGGCACCTCCAGGGTGCCCTTCCCGTTGCATGACAGGGCCCACTGTCCCTTCATGAGTGCTTTGGGGAGATGGGTTGGAGCTCCTCTGCTTACCAAGAGGGCCTGGGCTGAGTGGTTGAGGCCTTGTCTAGAAGCCCTGACCACACTGCAGGGAGACTCGGTCCTGGGACCTCTCCGTGACTGACCAGCCCTGGGTGCCCCATGCTGCGCTCAGCCTCAGCTTAGCCACCTGTAGGCCGGGAATTGAGCTTGCTGACTGCACAGCTCTGCCGAGATGAGCGGGTGAGAAACACCAGAAAGACCGTTCACGGCCTGAAGGTAGCATGGAGAGCAGTGTGGAGGCCGAGGTCACCAGCGTGGGCCATGCCACCGCGGACCTTGTGCTCAGATGGCGCGAGGAGCACTCACCGTCCTCACACAGGTTCAGCTTGGACAGGCTCCGGCCATCAAAGGGCTCCTCGAAGACGGAGCTGGTGTCGCGGTCGCTCACAGTGTGCAGGTACATGGCTTTGTTCTCCATCAGGTCCTGCAGCAGCACAGGTGGGGGACAGAGAGTCACCCACAGGTGGACACAGAAACCAATGCATGGAACAGGGTGCTGAACACCAGGTCACCTCGAGCCTGAGCACTGGAACCCTGTCCTCATCAAAGCAGCCCTCTAGGATCTGGGGTCCCCAACCTGCACCCCCGCAGTGCTCAGTGCCCTGGGCCTTTCTGGCTGCAAGCTCTGTCCCTTCCTTTCAATGGCTCTCAGAGTGGCTGCAGCCCTGGGTTGGGGACACTGGCAGTGCTGGGCAGGGCCTGGGAAGCCAATCTTACTACCCCAGGGGTGCCCAGGGAATGTGTCAGAGAACCCTAGGCTTTGCTCCTGTTGGAAACGAGGGAAACTAAACACACAGAGGCATCAAGAGGACTCAAGGTCAGGAGCCACCAGAGCTGAGAGGGACCAAGCAAGGGCTCAGCTTGGCAGCCTCAGTGGGAGCCCTGTTAAGCCAGGGGAGGGCTCCTGTCCAGATGTCCCTCAGCCTGGCCCACTGGGGCTTTGGATCCACCCCCTCAGTCGGCCAGGGATGCAGCCACTGACTTGGGAACTCCTGTGCTGCTGGAGGTGAGCCTGCCGTGTCCGCACAGCAGTGTGTGTGTTTGGTAAGATGTTTCATGTGACAGGAAGGCCATCTTCCTTCTGGGGACCCTGAGCAAGCCAGCACCGAGGACTCTGGCTGGAAGGGATGGTGGGTATGGTATATTTCATTTCGCTTCCAGATTTTTTGAGTTGGCATTCTTTATACAATGAGAAAAATACTTTTTTAAAATAAAAAAAATTGCAAAGTATTTATTTACATACTTGTAAAATACTTCTTATTCTTATCCTCCCATACATGCTCCAGGGCCTTCACACTGAGCTGCATCTGCAGCCCTTCTTGATTTTTTTTTTAATTTTATTTTGAGACAGAGTCTCCCTAAGTCTCTGAGTTGCTCAGGCTGGGCTGGAACTTCCGATCTCCTTGCCTCGGCCTCCCAGAATGCTGGGATTCCAGGTGTGTGCCACCACACCTAGGTGTATTTTTTTAAAAAAACAATGGATTCTTTAGAAGATGAAACATCCTAGGGGTTTGGGTCCAGGCCCAGCAGGACCCAAGGAGCATGCAGATTCCATGGCCTAAGGGGCAACACGGCAGCGGCAGCGCCTGGCAGGTATGGGTGGGCGTGGCCTGTGGGTCCCAGGGAGGGAGTCTGTTCCTCTTCCAAGTGGGGTGGATGATGGGGAGGGGCTGACAGAGGGACTTCCACTCTTGTCTGTGCAAGTACTGAGCCCCACACCCCAGCGCAGGGATTCGCCTGCACACACAAGCGTGGGGAGCCCCATCTCCTGGGCCTTCCTTCCGGCGGTGGGAGGGACAGGAGAAAGCGGGCTCCACGGCTCTAGCAGTGTCTCTCCTCCTGGCCAGATTGCTCCCACCCAGCTCCTCGGTGCCTCCCCCTCTGATGTCTTCTGTCCACAGCCTCCACCCAACGAGGGTCTCTCAGTGGGGCCCTGGGCCACTGGTCCCTGCACAGCTAGCGGGGACCTCCCTGGTCTCTGGGTATGTGTGCAGGGCCCCTCCCTCTGGCCTGGCTCCTAGGCCAGCATCTCCTCTGCTTGTGATGACCCTCGCTCTGCCAAAGGCAACAGCAGCCGCAGCCAGAGGTCAGCAGCGAGGACAAACAGGGCGCTGCTGTCTCTGTAGGGCGGGGTGCGGATGCTGCCCCAGTCCTTGTTCCACCCCTCCTCTCCCTGCCAGCTCCTGGGCCACACAGGCCCGGTGTCTGGGCCCTTCTGGGGCATCCTCCAGGTACCCTCCCCTGCCCCCTCCCCACCCCTCGGCTGGTCTGAGAGGAGTGGAGGGCTGAGCTGTGCAGGGGAGAGGGGCTGGGGCTGGGCCTGAGCCCACCAGATGTGAGCGAGATGGGCTTGGAAATGCTCGGCTGTTTGTTACTTGGAAATGAGGGCTACACACTTTATTCTGCCTGTCTTGGTTTTATTCGGGACTGTTTCTCTCTCTCGGGGAGCTTGGGGAGCAGAAATTTGGCCCTTGGATCATGGCTGTTTATCAGCATTGGGCCAAGTTTGGGCTCTGGGGTAAGGCGTAGCTGGCTGTCTGGTGTGGTGACCACACTGCCAACTCCTGGCATATGCCCATGACCAAAGGGTGCGGACCGTCTGCCCTGGGGACTGCCCTGTGTCTCCTCCCGGGAGCGCTGTGAGGGGTAGGCAGCTGCATTCATTCCCTGGTTCTCATCTTAAAGATGAACCAACTAAGACCAAAGAGGCAAGAACCAGTGGGCATCTGGGAGGAGACACCAGACGGGGGCTTCCCACCAAGACGCTGGCTCAGCTGCAGGGCACTTTGCCCAGGATGTGGGGCCACCTTCAGTGTCCCAGACCAGGCAGTGAAGAGGGTAGTACCCCAGAGGGCCAGTCACACAGCCCACAGGTGGGGGCCCAGTGCAAGGGAACCTCTGAAAGCTGGGAGGGGAAACTCGCGCAGGGTGTGGAGGCCTCGGGATCTGGGGCTGCAGCCTGCAGACCCGGACCTTGGCTTGTGGAACCAGAGTAAGGCCATCCTGTAGGCAGGGAGGGGGCTCCCCTGATTTCTCCAGGGTGATGCTCACTCCCAGGTGATCGAACCCAAGACACCTGCAGGGCAGGCTAGAGACCAGGCTCTCCCTCCAGAGTCTACATCTGAAAGCTCAAAAGGCCCTCGGCCCCTGCACCTGCTCTGTGCGGGCCTGGGGCATGGGGCGCTCCAGGGACCAGGGCTCCTCTGTTCCTGTTCCCCGGGAATGTGGCCCCGTGCTCTGACCACACTCAGCCTTGAGTGCATCGCCTGCGTGGTTCTGTGGTGCCAGGGGAGCCTCACGGCATGTAGAAAGGCAGCTGGTGGCAGCGTGGTGAGGACACAGTCCAGTCAGGTAAAGGGTCTCAGGTTCCCTGAGCCAGGCCCCGAAACAAGGCATGTGGGGTTCCCTTTGTAAAGAGCAATCGTGAATGCAGTGTAGGGCAGGGCTGGGGGCCCTGGCTTTCCAAGTCCTTCTCTGGGCATCAGAGGGGTGGAAGGACCTCTTCCTGCCAAGCGGGCGCCTGTTGCGCTAAAGATGGGTCCAGCCTCTGACTCTGCAGGGCTCACAGCTTTCTTGGAGCTGCCTGGTCTCAAATTCATCCAAACCAAGTGAAAATCACTAGGAATGTGGCCCAGAGAGAGAACTGCTAAGGAGGCTCTAAGCCCTTCCCTCCGGCGCCTGTGGTCAGGTAACCCGCAGCTGGGGAAGCGCAGATGTTTTGCAAATAACCTGTTGCCCTGAGCGTCACACCTGCACGCGCAGCTCCAGCTCGGAGAGAAGCTGTCCCCTGCCCCACCTGCTCCCCAGCAGGCTCCAGAGCTGCGACGTGAGCCCAGTTTGGCGCCCAGACTCACCTGACGCCCCCGCTGAGGCCACAGAGCCTGGCGCTCAGTTTCCAGCATTCGCTGCGGTGGTCGGAGAGCCGGCCGCCGTCGCGCTGAGACCCGGGCAGCCCCTCAGAGTCTGTCCCCACCGCCAGCCAAGTCCAGACCGAGTCAAAGGAGGGCTGCAGGGCGCCCGGTGACTTTACCAGACCAGGGCCGTGCGGGAGGACCAGGCTGGGAGGCGAGACTCTAGCGGGTGGCCAGGTGCGTGGAGGTCTGCACCTGGGACGCCCCGGCGAGGTGCTTCGTCCCAGTCAGCCGCGGGCAGCGACCCGGAAATATCGCGTGGAGGCAGCGGCGTCCTGGGAGGTTCTGACTGAGTGCAGGGCAGCAGCTCCCGCAGGCGCTCTTTATAGAAGCTCCAAGGAGCAGCGCGCAGGCTGCCCGCCAGGGTCTGGAACACGGCCCCCCTCTAGTGGCCACTCTCAGCATGACAGCGCCATTCGGACCGAGCCAAAGAGTCAGCTTTGGCCTTGGGGCTCCAGCGTCTCTTCGAAGGCGCTGCTCAAAATACTCTTTGGCCTGCTCCTGGGGAATGGCAGCTAGACCTAGGTTAGGAGCCATGCAGGAAAACCGGTCTTGTAAATTTATTTATAGAACAGAATGGGCATTGCTCAATTCATTCACCAACTTGGCATAGAAATGACTTTATGCATTTTTCTGAAGTCAAACCCACCCCTAAAGGACGCAGATCGGCCACGCTGGGAATATGCGAAAGAATGCCCAGGACCTCTGAAGGAACTCCCCAAAGTCGAGTCCAACACAACTCACCAGCAAAGCCAGTGAGAGCACAGGATGAGAAAGGCTGGCTGACCACGAGGGACTTGGCGTCTCATACAGGAACTGTACTTGCCCAACTGCGTTTTTAAAAAAAGATCTAAGACAGCCATGGTGGTGCATGCCTGTAATCCTCGTACTCTGGAGGCTGAGGCAGGAGGCTCACCTCGAGTTTGGGGCCAACCTGGGCTACATAGTGAATTCAAGGCCAGCCTGAAGTACACAATGAGACCTTGTCTCAAAAAACAAAAACAAACAAACAAACAGAAAAGGAAATCTAACCAGATGTTAAGGGAGCAATTAATTCAGTTTGGGATGGTGGAAGGCAGGAAGACATCAGGGAAATCCAAAAATACTGTGAGCCATGCGGCACCGTCAGTTCACAGAGACATCCAGCCTCCAGGGCACAGTGCCTGGAAGATAACCTTCTTAGGTCAGACCCTGTTGTTGGTTAAATATTCAGGGTCAGACTTCGAACACGAAAATCTTTGCCAGGTTCACCTCTGCCCACGGCACAGCTGCCAACCCATAGCTGAGTCAGAAAAGCCTGAGTTGGGCCAGGGATTTAGCTCAGTGGTTCTGCTGCCTGCCTCGAAAGTGCAAGGATCCAAGTTCGATCCCCGGTACCAAAAAAAAAAAAAAAAGAAAAAAAGAAAAGCCTGAGTCATCTGCAGCGCTTTCTCCTCCTCGCTGCTCCAGCTTGAAACTCAATGCTTCCAGGGGAGAGAAGCAGTAACCACATAACTGTAATAATAATAAGAGGGAAGAAAGGAGGAGGAAAAGGAGAAGAGGAAACACTTCGTAGTACATACGTACCTCGCTGCTCATGTATGAAGGCATTTAACTAGACAGTCATTCCTGGGCTCCAGAACTCCTCATCAGTGCCAACATCCGTGGGTGCTCAAGTCCCTAATATAAAGCAGCACAGTATTTGCACATAACCTGGGCATGGTCCCATAGGATTCAAATCATCTTTAGATGTCTTATAAAATCTGAGGCCATGCAAATGCTGTGTAAATAGGTGCACTTTGTTGTTTCAGGAATAACAATGAGGAAAAAAGTCTGCATGTCCAGGACAGGTGACAGTTTAAAAAACATCTTTGATCCATGGCAGGGGGTATGGGACCTGGAATGAAACACAGGAGGCCTGCTGCACAATCCTGAGGCAGGCATTGCTACTGCGCCCATCTGAAGGAGACAGGCCGTGAGACTGGTCCCAGGTCACTCGATTGGTACGGGCAGAGCTGGAATTCAACCCTAAGTGGCTTGACTATAGAGTCGGGGCTCACCATGACCCCCTCTCCTACCTCTCACCAACACAATGTTTTTGTCACCCATCAATTCACCAACAGTCCTAGGAATGGAATCTGAAAAATAGCCAGGAGTGTGCTTGGAACACGATGCCCAGGGATCTTCAACGCAGAGATGCGCTTATTAGCAAGAAATGGAGTGGCTTAGTCAGTGGCGTGGCTAGAGTCTGTCCTCCCAAATTCACGTGTTGGCGATGTCATCTCTGACGCAAAGGCGAGGTGTAACCCCCTGCTGCTGGGGAGGCGAAGGATCGCGGCTATAAAGACGTCTTTGGGCAGGGCCGTCTCTCTCCTGCCCCCTGCCAGGACTCAGCATTCGTCCCCTCCTGCCTCCTGCCTCCTGCCTCCTGCACACGGCAAGAAGGGTGCCCCGTGGCCAGCACCTTGGTCTTGGATTTCACAGCTGCAGAAATGGCAGGAAATAAATTTCCACTCGTGAATGACCGGCCTCACCTATCCTGTTTTGCAGCACAAATGGACTAAGACAGTTGGTGAGATGTGGCAGAAGCCTACTGTACCTAAAATAAAGTCCCCACTTCCATATGCTTACACCGCTGTGTCCTCACTAGCAGGGAAGGGCCAGGATGAGGACAAAGTGCGGAGGCGAGAGCCAAGCATAGCCCAAGCTGTGGGCTGAGGCTCTCCTTCCCCATTAGTAATTGACGAGACAGACCGAGAGATGGTCTGGTTTTCTGCCCGGGCCCATAAACAGGCATGGAACTGTTCAATTGTAAAATTGCAGGAAGAATGAAGTTTATGCTTTAAACTTAGTGGCTCTGGGCCAAGAGCCTCTCTTCCCCTCTTTTGTTTCTGGTTTATTTCACTTCTTGTAGGAGGGACAAGATCTGTCCTGATGGATGGCCATAACTAGTTCATTCTTTGCGATTTTGTTCTTTTTGCTGAGTAGTATTCCATTATAAGCCATGTTTCCTTTATCCCTTCTCTTGCTGAAGCAGTTCCCAGTCTCTGCCTATTATGAGTAAAGTGGCCCAAGCATGTAAGAGGCCACTTGATATCGGAGTATAGAAGTGGCCTGTAGGGCAGGATTTCCCGGTGGGCAGCCCATAGCTCAGATTAGAACTTTCTACCTCCTAGCATCAGAATGGTCCAGCAGAGGCTTGCTGCCATTTGGTCACACACGACATCTGTGTCTGTGTCCTGCCCCCCAAGGTTTTAGGGAATGTGTCTGCACTGATGGAGGGTGGATTGGACACTGCAGTATCGAGGCTGTGGAAGCAGAGGTAATGCAGTCTGTTATAGCTGTGTCTAGATCTCCCCCCAAAGCCTCATGGGGTCATAGGTGGCTTTTTCAGAGGTGGCCGAATCCAAAGTGTGTGATGCTGGGATTAAGGACATGTGATTACTAAACGAGTACACTGATTGGTTTGGCACCACCCTAATTCCTGTAATCTGGATAAGATAAAAGAGGCAGAAAGATGCTGTTAATGTCCGTTTGCTGCTTTTGCTACTCTGTGGGCATCATGAAATGCTTCTGCTCTGTGATGCCACTCTGCCATGTGCCACTCTGCCTGGAGCCAGCTGATTATGGACTGAAACCTCTACAAACTGTGAGGAAAACAAACCTTTTCCCCTTTAACTTTGGTGTTGAGTATTTTGTCTCATCAATGAAAAAGTAGCTACAACAGAATTTGGTACCAGAGAAATGGGATTGTTGCTGTGACATTACCTGGCCATGTGGATCAAGAGCCTTTGGAACTAGCTTGCAGAAAGGGGAAGAGTTAGGAAACTTTTGGAGCTGTCAGCTGAAGAAGTAGAGCTGGAATACCTTAGGCTGTTCTGCATGGGAAGTTCTGCTCAGAGCTCAGAGGACCAGAAAGCCAGTAAAGACCAGGCTCAGGAGGTATCTGCTGGGGAGGAGGACTGCATTGGCTGCTGGAGTCCAGACGATGTATGTTATGCCTTGACAGAAAGTTTGTCTGCATTTTGCTGGTGTCCAGAGACTTTGCCTGAGACTGAGATTAGAGGTGGGGGGCTAATTAATCTTTCAGAAGAAATTTCAAGGAAGTCTAATGTTGAGGCAGTGGCATGGGTACTGTTGGGGGCTTTTGCCAGATTTATTTTGAGAATCAAGAAGAAAGAGCCCAGTAGAATAATTTAAAACATTTTGAGTTTGGCCAGAAAGGAAGCTTCAGTAAAGTTGTGGCCTGCAAAGACAGAGCAAAGGAGATCTTGATTGCTGAGAAGGAACAGGAGAATAGAAAGATGGCCTGAGGGCATCATAAGAAGCAGCAGGACTCCACCTTTTGCAGCCTCAAAATTGTAAAAGTGAAAGACCTTGCTTTGAGAAGAGAGCCCCAGAACACCATGTTCCAGAATGATGGTTGCCTAAGGAAGTTGTTCCTCGGGATTTGGTTCATGGGCACTGGAGCCCTACAGCCAAGACATAAGGAAAACTGGCTACTGCTCCAGCTGGCAGCAGACCTTGGAGTCATCTATGTGGTGCAGGTTTTAGGCTCAGGCAGAATGGAAGAGTTGTGAGGTCAGGAAGGATTCCACCCAGATTTCAGAAGAAGGCTTGGGAGGTCAGTCAGTGTGCCCCTGAGAGGGCAGTGTGTGAAGCTGAGTGTGAAGCTGAAAGTACAGTGGAGATCCTAGAAGGGTGAAGAAACCAGAAAAGTGGATCATCTGAAGAAGCCTGCAAAGGAGGGACCAGAGCTGGCCCAAGAGAGAAGCCATGGGAGCTACAACCACCAGAAGTTCTGTAGGGGTGAAGCCACCCAAGCCCTTTGGAGTTTGAAACTTGCCACACGTTGTCAGGGATGCTGGAGGTGGAACCGAGGGATTTAATGTCTGCCCTACTGGATTTTGATCTTGCTTTGTTCCCATTCCTTGCTATTCTTCTGTTTGTAACCTTTGGGATAGAAATGTCTATCTTGTGCCATTGAATGTTGGAAGTGTTTGATTTTCTTTTATTGGTACAAGAGCTTGCAGCCAAGAATTTGCCCTAAATCTCAGAGGGAATTAGGACTCGGACTTTTCAACAATGCTGAAATTGTTAGGACTTTGGTAACTCTTAGAGAAGGACTAAACAGCTTTTGCATAGAGGAATGTGTATGAGTCTTTGGAGGGCCGGGGCAAAATGTTAATGGTTTGGGTCTAGATCTCCCCCCAAAGCCTCATGTGGTCATGGGTGGCTTTTTCAGAGGTGGCTGAATCTAGAGTATGTGATCCTGGGATTAAGGGTGTGTGATTACTAAACCAGTAGACTGGTTTGGCACCGCCCTAATC